TCTGAGCCTCAGTTTCCCCACTTGATAAACAGGTCCTCATGAGGTTTAAATGAATCAGTGTATGTTGTTGAAGGTGCTCAAGAGATATTAGCCATAAATGTCATTGTCGCCATCACCATTTAACAGCAACACTGAGGCTGGGTGGGTACCCCGGTCCCACTGTGAGGGAGAGGATGGAGGGGCAGGAGACAAGGATGGGCCCTGCGGTGACCCTGTCCCGCCCCAGGCCGCCAGAGCCTGCGCCTAGTCATGGAGTACCTGCCCAGCGGCTGCCTGCGCGACTATCTGCAGAGGTACCGCACCCGCCTAGACTCCAGCCGCCTGCTCCTGTATGCCTCGCAGATTTGCAAGGTGCGGTGAGAGAGGGGTGCCCAGGACCTGTGGGGGATCAGCCGGCTTGGCCTGAGTAGGGGTCTGCGTGACATGTAGTTAAGGTTGAGGGTGGAAATTTGGGGTTCAGGTCGTGTTTGGGGGTTCCAGCTGGAATTAGGGCTCGGGAGCAGGATGGGAGCTGATGGGTCAGGGCTGGAGTCTGGGTTGGGGTCTGGGTGGGGGTTGGGGTCGGATTCCAGGTCAGGCTCGGGTCCGCGCCAGGTCATTCTGGGGTGCATCCCCCCTGTTCCCCACCCTGGCGCCCTCAGGGCATGGAGTACCTGGGGTCTCGCCGCTGCGTGCACCGCGACCTGGCGGCCCGAAACATCCTAGTGGAGAGCGAGGCGCATGTCAAGATCGCCGACTTCGGCCTTGCGAAGCTGCTGCCGCTGGACAAAGAATACTACGTGGTCCGCGAGCCCGGCCAGAGCCCCATCTTCTGGTGGGGACCCTACCCGGACACGGTCCGCCTCTGCGTTGCCCTGGTCTCGCCCCTCCTTCCCAAGCCCCACCCCTCAACCCTGATTTCGCCCCCCCCACTCCTCCCGTCCACAGCCCTGTCCCCGCCCCTCCTACGCATCGCTCTGGCTCCGCCCCTCAGCCTTGTCCCCGCCTCCTCACCACGCCAGCCCTGGCCCCGACCCCACAGTCCTAGTTCCGCGTAACCAGCGTTCCTTCCTCCCCAATCCTGGAACCGCCCCCTCCTCTCCCACAGAACTGGAGAATCTCCCCATCCCGCAGCCAAGGAAACTGAGACCCCTGGGGCGGGGAATGACCTCACTGACCAGCTCCCCCAGGCCAAGGCTGCCCCCTTTCCGTTCTCTGCCCTGCCCTTGCATGCTGAGGCCTCTCTGTCCCCTCAGGTACGCCCCAGAGTCCCTCTCGGACAACGTCTTCTCCCGCCAATCTGACGTCTGGAGCTTTGGGGTTGTCCTGTACGAGCTCTTCACCTACAGCGACCGGAGCTGCAGTCCCTCGGCCGTGAGTGGCTCCTGGCCGCCCTCCTCCCCCCGGCCCCTCCTGCTAATCACCCGTCTGCCCCTAGCGTCCCTCTGCTCAGGGTCACCCGTGTCCCAGCATTGTAGGCCCCAGTGGGGAAGAACCCCTTCACAATGGCTGACCTCCCCCCAACCACTAGCAGCCCCCTCCCCCTCAATCACAGACGACACCTCCCCCATCGTGGGTGCTCCTCCTTCCTCCAGGAGTTCCTACGGATGATGGGGTGTGAGCGAGAAGCCCCAGTCCTCTTCTGCCTACTGGAGCTGCTCGCCGAGGGCCAGAGGCTGCCGGCGCCTGCCGGCTGCCCAGCTGAGGTGAGCACAGCAGGGCCTGCATCAGTTTCCCGGATTGGCTCAGGGGTCTCCGGCAAGCAAGCTGGCCCCTTGGGCTTCTCCCCTCTCTGTCTCTTGGGCGTGAGGCAGAAGGCGATTCTGGCCTCCACTTTGCTGCTGGCTCACTGGACAGCAAGTCTCAAACACTTTCAGAGCCTCAGTTTACCCATCTCCAAAATGGAAATGGCAACACCTTATTGGTGCAGGACGATCAGAGCAGCTAACACCTGTCATCAAGTGCTCAACTCTGAGTTGGCACACAGTCAGTGCTCAATAAATGGTGGTGACCAATGGTATACACTCACAACTTGGATGGAAGTGTCTCACATGTGGTTGGTCATTCCTAAATGAATTCATCCAGTCTAGAAACATTTACCGAGCACCAGCTGTGTACCAGGCTCTGTGCTGGGTGCCAGGGACCCAGCAGGGGCCAGAACAGATACTACCTCGTCCTCCTGGTAACCAGCAAACAACAGGAGCTCGAAAGAACTTGCCAGTGACAATAAGTGCCTTGAAGGGGGTGAACAGGGGGAAGTGACAGGAAGGGGGCTTCTCAGAGGGGATAACACCTGAGGTGAGACCTGAAGGAGAAGGAGAGAGCTGGGAGAGGGCATTCCCAGCGGCGGGGACAGCAGGTGCAAAGGCCCTGGGATGGGAACATGTTTGGTATATTTAAGTAACAGAGAGACAGAGGCGTGTCTGCAGTGTTACCAGTGAAAAGGGGATTGAGGGAGATGATGTTGGGAGGGCAGCAGAGAGGGTTGGGATTTTGTTCCAAGAGCCATAGGGACCCATGGGAGAGTTTCTAGCAGGGGAGGGATGGGGTCTCATTTATGTTTTAAAACTGCAGATGGGACTTGCCTTCCTACTGCTTGCATGTGACCCCTTTGCCTCCCCCTCTAGGTTCATGAGCTCATGAAGCTGTGCTGGGCCCCTAGCCCACAGGACCGGCCACCCTTCAGCACCCTGGGCCCCCAGCTGGACTTGCTGTGGAGTGCAAGCAGGGGGTAGTGGCCAGGGGCATGAGATCTCGGCTTCCTGGCTTATCCCAAGGGCGAACCCCATGCCCTGTTCTTTTTAGATCTCCTGCACACAGATCTCTGGGGTCCAGTTTCCATGCCTGGCTTTGTGACTTCAGGCAGGGAGCCACCCTCTCTGGGCTTTAAAGGCTTCATGAGCAGCCCCTGCTTCACAGAGACCCCCATGGAGCAAACAGCATTGCATTTCGGAGGTGCCCCTGGCTTGAGGAGCAACGGGGGCCTTATGAGCTTTGGAACTTGTAAAGATTCAGGACGGATCCTTGGTGGGGCCCCCTGAGCCCACTCAGCACAGAAGCAATGATCCAAATTTAAGACTCTCCTGTCTTTCAGTCCCTCACAACCTGGCTCTGAGTTTCCAGTCTCATTTCTAATGGGGACATTAATGTAGCTTTAAATATGTGATTCCAGGCTTCTGCTCCCCCATCTAATTTGCTGGAGGAAGCCAAGAAGAGCACCTGCCTCAGCTGGAAATTTGCTTTTTCGGGCGGCCTGTATGTCTGTCTGGGTTGGTGTTAAGGGGGCTAGGAGGCTGGGGTTCAGATGTGTTGCTGACTGTACCTGAGGGACCCAGGCTTCAGCTCTCCCACCTATGCAGCCCTTTTTGTCCCGACCCTCAGGGTCACATGGAAGGCTGGTGGGAGCTTTCCAGGCAGTCAAGGGAGGGAAAGGCTTATCTAGCAGAGGGAACAGCATGATGAGGGTGAGCACTCAGAGTACAGAGGTTAAGCACTCAGGTGATAGAGCCCACTGTTCTGCCACTCATGCACTGTGCAACTGTAGGGAAGTTGCTTCCCCTCTCTGAGCCTCAGTTCTACCTCCTGTAAAATGGGCAGAATGACGTGCTGGGCCCCTGGCTGTGCAGAACCCACCACCTGAGGCTTTTGAGGTTTCTTGTGCAGAGCCAGTCCTCGGACCAGGTTAAGTCTCCACTGCTCCTCCTCACCTGCCTGCAAGGACTTTCTGCCACTTTGGTCTCCCCAGAAAACCCTTGTTCATCCTTCCAAACCCCAGCGATCACCTCCGTGCAGCCTTCCTTGGTCCCTTAAATTCCTCCAGCCCAGCCCTGATACTAGCTCTGGAGGTGTTTGTGTCCAGCTCTTTCTCCCCCAACCTGGGGGCTCCTTGAGGGCAGGGTGGGCACAGAGGGGGTGCAGGGAGTGTTTGTTGAATGAATAAAGGAGTTCAATGGAAAAGACGGTTTGTTGGACCTGGAGGGTGTGTGAGCTGGGAAGCGTCGTGGTTAGGCCTTCGGGTTTAGAGACTTCTCTGGGGCTGCCATGAGAGCCTCTGGGCGGACTGATGGAGGAGGCTCCTGGGAACAGCTGGGCAGGGCATGGCTTGGACCCTGAGGACAGACTCCCCTCCCAGTCCCAGCTGCTGGCCTTGGCTCAGTCCTGGGGGAGCTGATTAAAAGCCCTTGGTGGGTGCAGGGAACGGGCTGCTCTGGCGGGTCAGAGGGCAAGGTCTGGGGTGGGGGTGAGGCTGTGGGGAGGGGACCAACATCAGCAGGGACTAGGCCAGGCCCCCCTCAGCCATGTCCACCCCAGGACTGCTGGCAGCTGGAAAGATATGGAAAGTAACAAGGATGGGAAGAGAGAAAGAAAGACAGACCTAAAGAGCAAAGAGAGGGAGAGAGAAGAGGGATGGGAGACAGAAAGACAGATGAGAGAGAGAGACCCAGAGACAGAGAGGTAGAGACCCCGAGAGAGAGTGAGAAATTGAGAGAAAGAGAGACTCAGAGAGCATATGGAAAGAAAGAGATAGTGAGACAGACTCAGAGAGAGAAGTGGAGGTAGAGAGGGAGAAAGAAAAACTGAGAGATGGAGAGAGAGAGAAATAGAGATGAGAGAGAGAGATGGAGAGAGGCAGAGACGAGAGAGAGAGAAAGAAAGAGAGAGAGGCATCCAGAGAGAGAGAGAAAGGGGGAGGGATGGAGCCATAGAGAGAGACAGACACAGATCTCTGTGGAAAGGCCAACTGATTTGGTGGAAGGGTCCTGCCTTCAGTTGACTCTCCTTCTCTCTCCCAGCCTCGGTTTCCCTGTTTGGTAAAACATGGTCATAAGGCCCCCTGGGCCCAGGCCTGGCACCAAGCAGATGCTGAGCAAACTATGGGCTTTATTCTGGACCCCACCAGCCCCCCACAAGCCCCAGGAGCCCCTAGTTCTGGGGAGGCAGAGCTGCCAGGACCACCCAGCCAGAGGTCAGGGCTGGGGGCCTTAGAGGAACTGGGCTCTGTCTCAGCTCTCGGTGACCTTGGGCACACCTGGGGGCCCCTGTCTGAGCCTCAGTCTCCTTAGCTATAAAATCATAGGCACCACAGGGTTTTGTCTATTTCACCTCTGTAAAATGCTTAAAAAATAAAGACTCCTCACCCACTGCCTCCCAGGGAGGTACAGCCAAGGTCCTGGCCCAGAGCGAGCGCTCCTTCATCTGACCTCACTCTTGACCTTCTGGAATGCTCTGTCCCTCCTCCAAGGCCCCCAGCTGGGGCGTCCAGGCGCCTATAACAGGGGTCCAGCTACCCCGGCGCTCTCACCACCATGGATCCCATGGATCCTAGCCCGCCGACCTGGGCGCTGGTGCTACTGGTCCCCGTGCTGGCGCTGGCGCTGGGCCCTGCACCCGACCCCGAGGCGTCACCGGAGAAGCTGTGTGGTGCCCACTTCGTGCGCACGCTGGTGCGAGTGTGCGGGGGCCCGCGCTGGTCCCCTGAGGCCGGGCAGCCCGCGGCCCGCGGCGACCGTGAGTGTGGGTGCTCGGTGACAGGGCACGCAAGCGCATGCGCTCACACCAGGTTGTGGTCCCTGGAGAATGAATGCGGTCGCTTGGGCTCCAGACAGGCTCCCACCAGGCGGGGCTCAGAGTGAGGCTAGCAAGGCAGGGCTGTGTTTGTTGGGACTCTGTCTTTATTTAAAATGCTCATATTTTGATCTTCCTAGATGTTATGGATTGTATTGTCCCCCCAAAATATGTGTTGTAAATCCTAACCCCTATAACCCATTGCCACCGAGTTGATTCTGACTCATACTGACCTTATAGGACAGAGTAGAACTACCCTACCCTATAGGGTTTCCAAGGCTGTAACAATCTTTATGGAAGCAGACTGCCACATCTTTCTCCCGTGGAGCTGCTGGTGGGTTGGAACCACCAACCTTTTGGTTATCAGCTGAGCACTTAACCACTGTGCCACCAGGGCTCCCCAACCCCTATACCTGTGGTATAATTCTATTTGGGCATGGGTTATCTTTGTTATGTTAATGAGGCATATTAGTGTAGGGTGTGTCTTAAGCCAATCACCTTCAAGATTAAAGCAAGCAGATTAGGCACAGAGAAGGAAGCAGAGATGGGGGGAGATGTCGGGCCACAAGAAGACCATCAAAGAGCCAAGGAATAGAAGCTGAAAAGAGACAGGTTCCTTCCCCCACAGCAGAGAGCGAGCCTTCCCGCTAGAGCCAGTGCTCTGAATTTGGACTTCCAGCGTCCGGCGAGAAAATAAATTTCTGTTCATTAAATCCATCCACTTGTGGTATTTCTGTGATAGCAGCACTAGATAACTAAAACAGTGGATTTTTGCATTCTGTTAGATTTTTTAAAATATTGCATTAAAATAGTACTTATCTTAATGACACACCCTTAATTTTTGCTCCAGCCTCACTTGTCTCCCCCTCTTCCCAGCCCTCGTGCTCACCATATGCGACAGGTTTGTATGCATGCTGTGATACACTTTTGTCCGTGTGCGTCTGTGTGACACCAGGCAAGTGAGTCTTCAGAGGGGCACGTGAGGGTAGGGGGGACAAGAAGGGGCTGTGAGGCTGTGTACTTAGAACAGTATATGTCACATGCCACCCCTGCTGTGTCCCGCACTGTGGGGCATCTGTGGGTCTGTCTCTGATGGGGTCTGGGTGCTTTGGACCTGCTGCGGGCACCCCCACTGCCTGCAGCTCCAGGACCACCAATCCTCTCAGGACTTGGGGTGTCAGGGTGTATACAGCTGGGGATGTGCATCAGCAATGAGGGCATTGAATGGATGCCTGGAATACAATAAGCGCTTAATACATTCTGGCTGCTTATATTTGTGTGCATGGTGGGTGTGTTTGGTGGGTCACCTGGCAGGACGGGAGTGTGCAGGTGTGTTCACACAAAGAGGGAGGGGATTCTCTGGGGTCCCCCCCACCCACCCCGAGTCCCGCTCTGTCCCCAGGTGAGCTGCTGAAGTGGCTGGAGGGACATCTCCTCCATGGGCTGGTGGCCAACAGGGACCTGTATGGGATCAAATTGACAACAGTAACTTGAAGATTAGATAGGAACCTTAGGGGCAGTGCATCTGTTAACAGGGGAGGAACAAGTCAGAAAAGGAGAATGAGAATGGTTGCACAACTCCAAGAATGTAATCAATGTCACTGAATTGTATGTGTAGAAACTGTTGAATTGGTGTATGTTTTGCTGTTTTCTTCTCAACTACACAATAAATAAATCATAAAAATAAACAAAAATAAAAAAATAATGCTTCTCTCAAAAAAAAAAAAAAAATCCCTATGGAGCACAGTTCTAATGCACATGGGGTCACCGCAAATCAGAGCTGATTTGTTGGCAACAGGTTAACTGGTTATATTTCCTACTGGAAAGGAAACTTTTAGGGATGCATGTAGACTGGTTGTATTAAAACTTGTAAATTACTTTTAAAAAAAAAAAAAGGCATCTAGGTCTTCAAGAAATATTTTATTCCCTGAGGACTCACGAGGTTCCCCCTACAACTGCCATGAAGCCCGAGCCCCACACACTTGCCTGAGACCAGTGGGGCTGGGGGTTGCCAGCTCTCTTGGACCTCCCTAGTCTGTGAGACATGCTGGGCGAGGGGCTAGTCCTGGCATTTCAAAGAGCTCAGGGCCACCTAAGAACTTGAACATCCTTTTCTCTGGGCACTCGTGTTACCGCAATAACGCGGATTGGAGCTGCCTGCTGCAATAGCCAATTCTGAGACAGGAGTGAGGTGAGCAGCAAGAGTTTTATTATATATCAATATATAGGAGACAGAGGGGAATAGATTCCTCCAAAAAACCCATCTCCCCCACTGGGGATCGGCTGAAGGCTTTTATAGGGACAGGATTATGGGTCTTAGAAGTTTGTGTTAGTACCCCCTTGAGGTGGTCATGTCTCAGATGAGTTAATCTTCTACTGGTATTCTTGGGGATTACTTGGTGATATTCAATCACTTTATATGCATGCGAAAGCTGGGCAATGAATAAGGAAGACCTAAGAAGAATTGATGCCTTTGAACTATGGTGTTGGCAAAGAATACTGAATACATCATGGGCTGCCAGAAGAACGAACAAACCTGTCTTGGAAGAAGTACAGCCAGAATGCTCCTTAGAAGCGAGGATGGCGAGACTTGGTCTCCTGTACTTTGGACATGTTATCAGACAGGACCAGTCCCTGGAGAAGGACATCATGCTTGGGAGAGTAGAGGGTAAGCGAAAAAGAGGAAGACCCTCAACGAGATGGACGGTGGTTGCAACAATGGGCTCAAGCATAACAGCGATCATGAGGATGGGGTAGAACCGGGCAGTGTTTCGTTTTGTTGTACATAGGGTCACTATGAGTTGGAATCAATTCGAAGGCTGCTAACAACAACAACCCCCACAATGGTGCCATGCACCTTATTTGCATTATTAGCATGCTGTCCAATCCCTTTGTGGGCCACAAACACCTCATTTGCATAGCCCCACCCAGTCATTTGGTCAGAGTTACAAGACCATGGTGGAAGAGGCCATATAAAAGCAATCCATCGCACCACGCCACCATTCTGGCCCGTGTTCTCTGCTGATACCCACAGGTGACATCCAAGCCCTTGTCCCAGGTGTATGTGGCTTTGGGCACCTTCTGTCCCCCTCAGTCCTGTTCTTGTCACCATCTGCCAGGAGGCTGGGGAGACTGGCAGAGCTGAGAGGGACACAGAGGATCCAAATGGCAAGACCCCCTCATCATCACTGGCACTGTCCAACACAGACCTGCCTCTTTGTGCCCTGCTATATTCCGTGACACAGGGGCCCTTCTGACACTGATTTGGAGACCTCCATTATGTCAAGGTGATCCGCCACACAATGCCCCCACTTTTCAGATAAGAAAACAGGCTCAGAGAGAGCAAGCATCGGTATCCCGCCAGGCCTGGGTTCCTCCAGCTGGCTGGGTGACCCTGGCCAACCCAATCACTGGGTCTCAGTTTCCTCATTGGGAAATAAGGGCTCATTGCCCCCTCGTTCAACAGAGAAGGTGGCCGTGGTGGCACCAGGCATGGCTGAGGAAGGACATCCTGGGCCTAAGTGCCACCAACCTGGCCACTGACCAGACGCTGGGCCCATGGACCTCTCACCCTCACCGTAAGGCAGGGGCAGGGCCAGAGGTGAAAACCAGTATTGTTGTGGTCGTTGTTATCGCTCCAAGGCTTCCCACAAACCCTCAGCTGGGATCTAGATCCAGGCCTGGAACACTCCAAGGCTGTTGGAAAGGCAAGGCTGAGGGGCAGGGGTGACAGAAGCATCTAGAAGGCCCCCATTGCTGGGTATAAAGCCAGAAAAAGGCTGGAGGACCAAGGGTCAGCTCCCAGCAGGAGTCACCATTTACGAAGTCCCAACATATTGTTTTTAGTTGCAGCTGAGTCAATTCTGACTCACGAGGACCCCAGGGATGCAGAGTAGAATTGCTCTGTGGGGTTTTTAACGGCTAAGTTTTTGGAGGCAGATGGCCAGGCCTTTCTTCAGAGGCACATCTGGGTGGGTTCTGTGGGTTCGAACCGACAACGTTTCAGCTAGTAGTAGAGTGCTTAACTGTTTGTGCCCCCCCAGCAGCAGCCGTGTTCCCACTTGCTCATGCCTGACTGCTCTGAGCACACACTGAGCACCTAATGTATGCCAGGTGATAGTCTAGGTTCTGGGAGCACAGTGAAAAAATCACAGTGTTCAAGGAATTGGTGTGTTAACGAGGAACAGAGAGGCAGCGGACAAGACAAACCGCCAGAGAAGAGCGTGGGTGAAGAATCACTCAGCAGGAAGTTGGGGTGCTGACACGGAAGCGCGTGAGCCCCTTGCTCATGGGGGAGGCCCTGTGACGCTCACTGAGCCTTGTACGGGAGGGGGGAGGGGAGGCTATTTCTAGTTCTCAGGTGGGTGGGAGGCACAGGGAGGGTGCCCACCTGCCCGAGGACACACAGCCCACAGAACTCCTACAGAGGCCAGGAGGGCTGGTGGAAGTTGAACCTGGAGGACAGGTCCCACAAGTTCAGTTCAGCCTCGCCTCCCATAGTGGCAGGCTGGTGCTTTATCACAAGGGACAAGAGTTGCCTTTGTAAACAGACAAAAAGCCTCATTAAATACAAAGGTCAGAAAGGTCAGCCCCTAATTTAGGAAAACCACATGCCCGGTTGACTTATGTAAATATACGCCCAGTACGCATGTGTGTAAAGGCCTAAACCAAAAACCAAACCCATTGCCACAGAGATGATTCCGACTCATAGCGACCCTATAGGACAGAGTAGAACTGCTCCATAGAGTTTCCAAGGCTGTAATCTGTGAGTTCGAGTCACCACCTTTCAGTTAGCAGCCCAGCGCTTAACGGCTGCACCTGGTAGATTCTAACTGCCGATCTTTTGGTTAGCAGCGAATCCCTTAACCACTCTGGAAAAAGCCCAGCTGGTGATAAAATGGGGAAGTGAGATGGAGCGGGGCTGGGCAGGGCTTTAGACCTTCTTGCTGTGGGTTTCCAGGTCCCCAGGCCTCACCAGGGATGACTCATAAGATAAGCAGGAACTCCCGCAAGGGGAGAACTGCCTGGGGCATCTGGGGTGGAACCAGGAAGGGATCTGCAGCAGCACAGAAGCCCCAGAACAGATGCCAGCTGGGTCTCAAAGGGCAGCTCTGGGCTCATTTCCTAGGCAGGAAAATTGAGGCTCAGAGAGGCACGCCCTGTCTCCCAGTTCCCCTCGACCCTCCTCTGATCCAGGGCTGAGGCAGGGACTGTGGTCTCAAGTGACAGTCCAGGTTCTGGGGGCACCATGAAGACAGTGCTGAAAACCCCCCTGCTTGTGGAGCTGGTGTGCTAATGGGGGACAGAGAGGCAATGGACAAGACAAATTTCCTCCTCCAGGAACTTCCCGGGCCCTCAGCCCCTCAGGCTGGTCAGCCCCCCACCCCCACCAATCCCCCTACTCAGGGCCCCATGATATTCACATTATTATTATTTATAGTCAGTGACATTAAGGACATTCTTCAAGCTATTCACATTATATTTGTCATGCAAAAATGTCATGAATGAGAATGTATGGAGCCACATAATTAGGATTAGAGTTAACAGCCAGGTCCTGTGTGCAGTGTTTCTACCACCTGCTCATCTAAACTCCACAACTGCACTAGGAGGGAGGGCTGTGTGAGCCCCACGTTACAGACAGCAAAACTGAGGCACAGAGTGGTCAAGGAACTCATCTGAGGAAGCCTGGCTGGAGGCCAGTCCCTGCCCTGAACCACCCTGTGACAGGGGCTTCCCTTAGTTTGCTATGCTGGTAGTGAGCTCCCCATCATGGGAGACAATCAAGTCAAGCGAGACCCCTAGTAGGAGGAGGGACAGCAATGGGTGTGCTCTCTAGCTTATGGGGGCCTGAGAGGTCAGTGGCAGGAGGAGAAGTTGGCTGGTGAGACCTCACCTGCTCCTCCTGGGCTGGCTCTGCCCAGCCACCCAGGGTCCCTGGCTCAGCAGAGAAGCTCCAAGGCCCTCCTCTTAGTTCCCCTACACCCAGAGTGCCTACAAGAGGCACCACACACTACAGGTGAGGGGGAGCGGAAGGGAGGGTGCCTGGGCTGGGCAAACACAGAGCTGCCGCTCAGCCAGGTGGGGGCCCAGTTGCCTGATGCAGGGACCACACCTCTTCCTCCTGACTCCAGGACTTGGGTTGCCTGGGAACCCACAGGACAGTGCAAGGAAGGAGGGGGCCCAGGACCTGCCCAGACCTGGGGCGGCTCTCGCTGGGCCCTGAGTCCCAAATCTGGGCTGCTGGGGGCCCTGGTCCAGATGAGGGGGCCTCAGTTTCCCCATCTGAAAATGAGCATTTAAAAAAAAAAAAATCTGACCCAAAGGGAAAGGTGATCAGGAACCTGGGAAGTGGAAGGGGACGGAATGGTAGCTAAGGATGTAATTACTATTAGTACTGGGGTCCCCGGGTGGAGCAATGGTTAAGTGCTCCACTATAAGCTGAAAGGTTGGCAGTTCAACATACCCCTTTCTTCTTTCGGAAGAAAGTCCGGCTGATCTGCTTCCGAAAGGTCACAGCCTTGAAAACCCTACGGAGCACAGTTCTACTGTGCACGCATGGGGTCGCCATG